TCTCTGCCTTCTGAACAGTGTGGAGAGCTGCGGCGGTTTATTTCCACCTCTGTCTTCTCTCTTCCTTTTCTTCCCCTCTTCTGTGGGCAGGATAGTATATACTGAGACTGACTTACTTTAAAAAAAAAGAGTGGTTAATTCTCCCTTCCATTGAATTCTGGATCTTAAAACTAATCTCTTCCAGGTTTCCAGATTTCTTTTGCATAATTAAAAATGCAAATGTTAAAGTATTTTTAATTCGTAAAGAATTAATCAGTCACATCACAAACTCCTCTCTCTCAGCATATACTCCTCGGAATAGATAGGTCAGACCTCAAGCCTGCAAGGAAGGATACCTAGGTTCAGGCTTAGGCAGTTCGGAAGGAGGGGACTGTTTAGGAGAAACAAGACTATCTGGACAGTGCCCAGTTATCAGTTTTAAGATATTTTGGGGGACTGTTACTAGGGGACCACAGGCCTTATTATTCTGGTACAATGCAGGTAAATAGCCTAGAACAGCGACACATCAAACAGAAAGCGTCTGCAGAATGTGACCGGTGGTTACAGGATAGCCACCAATGGACAAAATAGTTGTTTGGCTCACCTAGAATTTAAAAAGTAAAGTAAGTGAACATTTTAAATTTGGGAGAGAAAACTGTATTTCCAGCCTCTCTTAAAGAAGCAGCGCCAGGCCAGCATCCCTTACTGGCAACAGTCTGCTAACTGCAGACGTTATCTTCACAGTGCTGTCTATATACCTGCAGCACATTCTGAACGCGTGTATGTATCAATTCTTGGGCCCTGCACTAGACTGACTCAGAATTTCTCAAGGCAAGCCTTGGCAATCAGTGACTTTTTAACAAGCTCTCTGAATGGTTCTCATACACACAGTGCATATAGAGGAGGACCGCTGTTGTGAAGTTTCTGTTCCCTCTCATCGTACCTAAGGAAGTGGTTGAGCTGGCATGCCCGTGGGGCACAGGTGCAGGGCAGGCTTCAGTGCTTCCCTGCAGATTGGCTCATGGCTGCCTCTAGCATGAATGGGTATCTTCAGCCACATTCAGGAAGCACGTGGTAGTATCCATTCTGAAGATGTACAAGCCTTATCCACTGTGTGGTCTGCCTCTACATCAAAGGCTGCAGTCCCCGTGGTAATTATGGATGCTTCATATAATTCAGGACCACATTGTTCTGTGCATGCTAGGAATCTCTGTACTGTGTGATCTTAGGTACCCTTCCTTACACCTGTCAGGAAAAGCCAAAAACCAAAACCCAGATCATTACTGAACCAAAAGCAAACCCTCTTCATTTAGTTGAAACATGAAAGTAAGTTCCGGTTGGGTACAAAGCCATCGTATCAGGGGAGGCTGAGTGTTGGTTTTGGACGAAAACTCTTTTATAGCTGTCTGTGTGGATGCTTTCCACAGAAAGTGTCCCTGTGTTCCTCTCAGCGTCCCTGTGTAGATCCCACTCATGCGGACTATCTGTAAATCATGATTTCTGACTCTTCATTAAGGGTTTTATTGTCTCACCTGTCTGATCAACTCAGATGGTATTTTTATTCTATTTCTCACACAAAAATATGACCAATTTCAAGTTGGCCATGAACCTAAATATCAGTTGATTAGGATGTGTAGGGATGAGTCACTCTTGCTAATGAATATTTAAAATTTCCTTTAGCTTACTTGGCAGAAGAGCTCACCAAGAACCTTAGAAGTCCACATTTAAATTATTGGCTCGTTATAGACTGGCCTGAGAGACAGAACTGAGCAGTTGCAATGGTTTTGTGTCTCAAAGCCAGAACTTCACCTTCAGACTGCCAAGCATTGTTCCCCAAGGGGGCTTGATGGTCTTCCAGTCTTTGGAAATCATCATCAATCATGAAAACCATTGCAGCCTGTTTTCCAGCTTCAGCCATTAAAGTGGCTTTGCTAGGCTTAGACAAGTCAGCCCGCTTTCTCTGGAGTACTGGGAGAGAAAGAGCAGAGGAAAAGAGGGTGAAACCCAAGGTCTGCCTAGCTGTCCAGATCTGGAAATAAGGGCAGAAGTGACTTCCGAAACTTATCTTTTGCTGTGAAAAACACCAGTGTCACCAGAATTTAACATTGAGGATACGGGGTCAACTCCCTTTGTCAGGAAAACAGACTTTCAGTTAATCGCAAATAGTAGGAGGTCAGTTTTTATCAATGGTTTGGACTTCATGATCCTAATAATTGTGAGCTTAAAACTCTCTATGCTGCATGAAAATGATATAATACTTCTGGTTAGATTTGTAAAATACTTTGTCAGCCAAGCCTCCTATAATCCTTCCATTAAAAGCAATGAAGTATGCCAGGAACAAAAAAGCACAGGTGGCAAAATGGCAGTGAGATTCAGGAATACCTACCTTCCCATCTCTTTCGTCTTATGAAGGTAACCATCCTCATGCCCGCACCACTGCAGTTTCACATAGGGTAAAGTGCCTCTTAGACCGGACAGTGCAACAATATAGGACTTTGTGTATGTTTCTAAAGCCAGTGGGAATAACAGCCTGCATGTCTCAAAAGTGCAGAGTGACGTTTTGAAGTGAGGTGAACTGAAGCCTTGTGTCATCAGGCAGCCCCGTTTACAGACCTGTTCACCTTTATTGTTCCAAACCAATCAGTTCAGATTCGTCAGAAGAAAAACAAAGGAAGATAAGCTTTTATTGACTGAGAAAATAATTGAATGTTTTGACAGCATATTCTAGAAGTTCTAATGAAATTGATACATGAAGGTACAGGGACCTCTCCCAATATGTTAAATGATGAAAGGCTATTCCCTATCATCAGAAGATACATGATGGTCCTGTACGTGAACATGTTTGAGATTCTTAAACCTTTGGAATTCTTCAAAATATATGGAATTATATGTAGACTTCTGTCCATTTGAGAATTTTATGTACTCTACTGTGACAGAATTTCTGTTTCCAAGCTACCTCTCACAAATCACATCACCCAAGAGGGGTGCAGCCAGCAGAACTCTAGCACATACTGAGTAACCAGGGCAACATGCTTTTGTGAAGAGACCTGGTCTTCCTAAAAGCTTTGCAGCTTTCCATTCTGCTAACAGCTTGGAGGGTATATATGATAAAGAGAGGATGTGGTTCTTGTGCTCAAGAAGTCTGATGTTCTGTTGTGGAGGAGACAGTAGATGCCTGATGGTCTTGAATCATTTTCCTGATGAAACAAGAGAGTTCCCTGACCGCCCCCCACCACAGGATATGAAACAGGGGTGTGTGGCTCATCTATTTGACTGCTGTGTGCACCCAAACCTCTTACGGTAGGGGGAGCACGCAGACAGGCAGGTACAGGATCTGGGGCTCCAGCCCCACGGTAGTGTCTAGCTGTGGTTGCCTGCAACTCCTGAATCTCCCCTGCGTGTGGTACAGTGCTCTTTTAGCTCTGCCATCTGCAGATGGCTTAAGTGTTAACCAGCTTAGCACCCCCTTCGTACCCAGACCCTTGTCTGGCATCTAGGAAGAATCAGATCACACATGGTCTTGAAAGATGGTGAATATGGGGATTTTATTGAGTGATGGAGGTGGCTCTCAGTGGGATGGATGGGAAGCTGGAAAGGGGATGGAGTGGGAAGATGATTTTCTCCTGGAGTTTGGCCATCCAGTGGCTCGATCCCCTCTCTAGTCATCCCCAGCCAAACTCCTCTTAATATTCAGACGCTCCTTCTCATCTCTCTTTCTCTGCCATGCCATTCTGCCTCTCTTCTGCTCTTCTGTTTGTCTGCTCATAGAGCCTGGGGTTTGCGGTTTGTATGTACAGAATAGGGGGTGTGTGGTGAGCCAAAAGGCAACTTTTGGGCACTAAAACAGGAATGCTGTTCTCATTTAGGGTTATGGGTTTCCAGGCTTTTGAGGGTGGGGTTTTTGCCTGGGAACTGCCCTCTCCTACCCAGTATCTACCTGTCTCCCGTCCATATCACTGATAGGATGAGACTTACTGCTTTAGTAAATGGCATAGACCAAAAGCACTGTGAGATTTATGATTGATTTAATTTTGGTCATCAATCTCTATTACTCTTGTGAAAGTACTGTTTTTAAAATTTGTATGATTTTACAAATGAAGAGCTTTGGAGGCTGATACATGTTTTACAAAGTGATATGCATAGTTAGTGAAGTGAGGGTTGGACTAGGACCCAGAAAATCTGGATTTTGGTCCCACTTTCCCACTGGCCAGCTGGGAGACTCCAAACAAACCACTTATCTTCTTTAAATGTCAGTTTCTACATTTGTAAGTGTGTGTGTAGGTGGGTGGGTGGGTAGGTGTATAAAATACTACCTTCTGCACTTATAAGGTCTTTGTGAGAATTAAACAAAATTCAATGCTATACAAAAAGAAGGCAGTATTGTTGTTAACTAACTGGTTAAATCAAACTACCACCTGAACTTATTTTTAAAGTGCTTTTCATGTTTGCTGTGAGAATTGAATTTTATTTATAGACCTCTGATGACTCAGAAATAGGAACCTCATATTATGAAAATATTACTGTACATTTGTCTAGCTATATTTCATGGTGTCATCTCACTTGATTATTATAACTAAGTTATTTAGAGTAAAATCTCTACCCCATATAGCAAAAAACTTCAGCTTAGAAACATTAAGTACCTTAGTCTAAGAAGGTCCAGAAGCTAGGACCAGACCCTGTTATTTCTGACTTTTAATGCAATGTCCTTTCCAAAAAAACTTCCCTGCCAACACCTTGCCAGATTACAGAAAGGATATGAAGCTTTTAAAGAACAGTGCAAAAAAAAAAAAAAAATCTAAAAATACTGCTTACCCTCTTGAATATCTGTCTGAAATAACCTCAATAAGCCTTAATCCTAAAACCAAAATGAAAACACATTTTAAATGCCCACATATTGTTTTAAAAATTCACCTTCTGTTAGATGGCGTCATTTCACAGCAAGTTGCTGTGTTTTGCTAGTAACTGCAGTTCACAGATAATATTTCTGAAGGGTATTCACTGCCGCCTCATCTCTCTTTCAGTAACAGATCAACTCCTAGCAACCATGATCGGATACAGCGTCTGAGGCAAGAATTTCAACAAGCAAAGCAGGATGAAGATGTAGAAGATCGTCGTCGGACTTACAGCTTTGAGCAACCCTGGGTAAGTATTTGGTTCTTCAGCACAGTGGATGGTCCTGCAACTTCCCTGCAGCAAAGGCCGCTAAGCCATGACCTCAGTGCTCCATGAAGAGAGACAAGATGGAGCCAAATTCCTTTGACCTTTAACATGTTGACCTTTTCCTCATTTCCATCTGGGTTTTATCATTGCTAATTTAATTTTATATCTTGTTCCACCATCTGTCCATTGCATAATAGGTTTCATTAGCCTTATGACAAGACAGCAAAAGTATTCTTACTCCCAGCTAAACATTTTTTTTTATTTAGTGACTATTTTTCTGTAGATACATATTTGTTAGAATCAGAGCCAAAATTAATTTGTTCAACACTTCTCCCTGTGCCTGTAATGTACAAAGTGCAGTATTTAGTAATTCTTTTTTTTTTTAAGAGATGAAGTCTCACCTTGTCACACAGGCTGGAGTGCAGTGCTGCAATCATAGCTCACTACAGCATCGAATTCCGAGGCTTAGGCAAGGCTCCCACCTCAGCCACTCGAATAGCTGGACTGCAGGCAAGTGCCACCACACCTGGCTAATTGCTAAATTTTTTGTAGAGACCCGCTCTCACTCTGTTGCCCAGGCTGGTCTCGAACTCCCAGGCTCAAGTGACCCTCATTCCACAGCCTCCCAAAGTGTCAGGATTACAGGCGTGAGCCACTGCACCAGGTCTAGAAATCCTTGATTCTTTAATCTCTGGCATCCCCTTTGTGTATTTGTTGAATCCACCTCATTCCACTTCATCCTCCACATAGCCACCAGAATGACCTTTCTAGAAAAAACTTTGAATAGCTTTCTCAATGCCAGACCTGTGTTCTGACCTCGTGTTTCACCCTAAAGATGATAACACTTCTAGGAGTGGAGGTGTTGGCGCAGATTTTTTGAGATGACGGGGAGTTTAAAGAATCTCTTTGAGAGTCAGTCTGTTAGAAGGGAATACAAAAGCTGCTTAAGGTAGGAAACCCAAACATGGGGTATTAGGAAGTCCAGTTAACATGGTGAATTGACCTAACCAGCAATGCTAGAGGACTGGGGATAGAAGGAATAAACCTGTAGATTAGTTCTTTGATGGGGGTTGGAAGATAGACATGGCAGAAAGCCAAGACAGGTGTCAGAGTCCTTGCAAGGACACTTGGGAAGCATTGCATGTCCCAGGCAGGGTGGCAGGTGTAGCTCAAGGAAGGATTAGCCTCACAGCCTAGCAGTGTGCGAGAAGGCCCAGGATCTAGGGGTTCTCAAGTCTAGGAGGTTGTGGTCAAAACGGTGTATTTTTTGGACTCTAGGATCATGGAAGTAGAGGTGGTAGTTCAGACGATGCGGAGGTCTAAGGCATTCCACCTTTGCATGTGAGTTACAAAAGTAGAGCGGAGATCAGTGTCCATAAAGTTGACGAGTTCAGTTCGGACAAAATGTTGGGAATATAATTTACTAGATACTTGGAAGAGTAGCGCAGAAGCAAGAATGGTGTTATAAAAGGCAGGAGCCCAGGCGTGTTGGCTCATACCTGTCACCCCAACACCTGTCACCCCAATACCTGTCACCCCAACACCTGTCACCCCAACACTTTGGGAGGCCAAGGCAAGAGCATCGCTTGAGCCCAGGAGTTTGAGACCAGCCTGGTCAACAACATAGGGAGACCCATCTCTACCAAAAAATAAAAAA